CGTCCACTGCAGGCAGTGTTGTCGCTGATAGTTACATTTGACAGCCTGGTTAAAACAACGTGGTCTTGCGTTTTATAGGAATAATTTTTAATAAGAAGATTTAATTTAAGAAAAGATAAGAAAATGTGATTTAGGTTGCTGTAAATGAATACATGTACGAAGTCATTCTTTGCGTATAGCTAATTTGTTACTTCCTCTCAGATAAATGCCGAACTAAAAATCCTGTAATGGTTGCTTTTTGCTTACATCGTGATTGTTTTTCCCAAGAGTTTTGTTATATAGAGACACAAACGGTCATTTGGAAGTATTGCACAACATTTGTTACAGAATTGTTGCCTCTTAATTACATGAAATAGTAAAGGAATCTTGCTTTAAATTTAGTGTCAATATTTTTCACACTGAAATATTATTAAGATTTTAGATTATATTATATAATCTCGCTTCTATTGCAACGCAGTTTATTTAATTTTGCAATTATTTTCTATATTAAATAAATTATAATGATCTTGGCACACTGTGAATTTTGAATGTGACAAGGTACAGTCCTCAATATTTTTTGAACATTTCTTATTACACTAATTACTATCCAACATAAAGTATAAACAAAATAAAATTATTATATTCGACGTATTATAACATGAATACTCAAGTTGCAAAATGTGTTCACTAACAGAATTCCACTACACCACTGCATGGCCTTGCTCCTCCCCAGCCCCCCGTGCTCCGGTTCACGCCCACCCTGGACCCCGAACGCCCTCCTGCACGGCGAGACCTTTCAACCTGGTGGAAGGAGGTGTACGTGGTGGGCAAACCGCTGGCGGGGCGGACAGCCTGAAAGGCGGTGCCCCTAGCCCCCGCCCCCGCCCGCGGCCGGACGCGCTCGCCGCCAATGCGCCCCCCGGCCCTAGCCCCCGCACCCCGCTGGCCGCCAGCAGCTCCCGCGCCCGCGCCGCCCCGCCCCGACGCCTGCCCCGCCCGCTCGCGCCACGTCGTCGTCGTCGCCATCGACTTCGGCACCACCTACAGCGGCTACGCCTTCTGCTTGCACGCGCGACCCCGAGCTCAAACATCCACATGATTGCGCAGTGGGAGGTGAGTGAGGACAGCGAAGCACACGAAGCTGATTGCTTTGATTGGATGATTGGAAAGATTGGAGTGATTGTATTTATTGAATTTAATTAATTTATGAATTGATTCATTGTTTGAATTGATTCGATTGTCTGAATTGATTAGAATGTAAATTGATTGATGTGTCTGAATTAGTTGGATTGTTTGAATCTGATTGGATTGTTTGAAATTGATTGGATTGTTTGAATTGATTGGATTGTTGAATTGATGGATTGTTTGAATTGATTGGATTTGTTTGAATGATTGGATTGTTTGAATTGATTGGATTGTTGGAATATGATTGGCATTGTTGAATGATATGGATTGTTTGAATTGATTTGATTGTTGAATTGATTGATTGTTTCGAATTGATGGATTGTTTAATTGATTGGATTGTTTGAATATTTGATTGGATTGTTTGAATTGATTGGAGTGTTTATGATGGATTGTTTGAATTGATTGATTGTTGAATTGATTTGATTGTTTGTTGTGATTGATTTGTTTGAATTGATTTTGGGGGGATTGTTTGAATTGATTGGATTGTTTTGAATTGATTGGATTGTTGAATATTGGATTGTTTGAATTGAATTGATTTTCTGTATTGATTGGATTTCTTGTATTGATTGGATTTTTCATGTATTGATTGGATTTTCTGTGTTGATTGGATTTTTGTGTTGACTTGATTTCTGTGTTATTGGATTTTTCTGTTGTTGATTGGATTTTCTGTGTTGATTGGTTTTTGTGTTGATTGGAATTTCTTGTGTTGATTGGATTTTCTGTGGTTGATGGGATTTTCTGCCCGTTGATGGTTTTTCTGGATGTTGAATGATTTTCGTGTTGATTGGATTTTTCTTGTTTTGATTGGATTTTCTGTGTTGATGGATTTGTCTGTGTTGATGATTTTCTGTGTTGATTGGATTTTACTGTGTTGATGGCATTTTCTGTGTTATTGAGATTTTCTGTGTTGATTGGATTTTCTGTGTTTGATTGGATTTCTGTGTTGATTGGATTTTCTGTGTCTGATGGATTTCTGTAGTTGATTGGATTTTCTGTGTTGATTGGATCCTCTCTGTGTTGATTGAATTTTCTGTGTTGATTGGATTTTCTGTGTTGATTGGATTTTCTGTTGTTGATGGATTTCTGTGTTTGATTGTTTCTGTGTTGATTGTTTCTGTGTTGATTGGATTTTCTGTGTTGAATTGGATTTCTGTGTTGATTGGATTTTCTGAGTTGATTGGATTTCTGAGTTGATTGGATTTCTGAGTGATGGATTTTCTGGAGTTGATTGGGATTTTCTGAGTTGATTGGATTTTCTGAGTTGATTGATTTTCTGAGTTGATTGGATTCTGAGTTGATTGGATTTTCTGAGGTGATTGGATTTTCTGAATTGATTGGAATTTTCTGAATTGATTGGAGTTCTGAATTGTTGGATTTTCTTGGAATTGATTGGATTTTCTGAATTATTGCGATTTTCTGAATTGATTGGATTTCTGAATTGATTGGATTTTCTGAAGTGATTGGATTTTCTGAAGTTGATTGGATTTTTCTGAAGTGTTGGAATTTTCTGAGTGATTTGATTTTCTGAAGTGATGGAGATTTTCTGAAGGTGGATTTTCTAATGATTGGATTTTCTGAATTATTGATTTTCTGAAGTGATTGGATTTTCTGAAGTGATTGATTTCGAAGTGATTGGATTTTCTGAATTGATTGGATTTTCTAATTGATTGAATATTTCTGAATGATTGGATTTCTGAATTGATTGGATTTCTGAATTGGATGGACTTTCTGAATTGATTGGATTTTCTGAATTGATTTGGATTTTCTGAATTGATTGGATTTTCTGAAATTGTTGGATTGGATTTAACGATTTGTTGATGTTTGATGTTTCCTGGCGCTCCAACCGCGTGTGGTCATGTCCCTTTAGCTTAGTGAAATGTTTCATCGCGGAGGTGACGTGTTCCTCTCTCGCTGGATGTTGTGCGTCTGACGGCCGACCTTCACGTCCGTTGCCGGGGATTTCCCTCTCAGGAATCACCCCGTCAGGCACCGCCCCAGCCGGTAACCTCTAAGCTCCCGAATGGTTGTATTACGAATCTGTGTTTGCGTAATAATCCCTGGTGTATTAACGGACAACAAAACAATATAAATGATTGCGTAGCTTAGCGCCAGTGGCGATCCCGTGAGACAATACAGGTTATGATGCGGGTATTGCTTGTCTGTTACTGACGTGTATAGTTCATCTCGAGTGAAAAATGCCTGCACATTGTGAATCATTATTTTGAGAGAGAAAATAGGCTTCATAACTGGAAGACAAATTTCGAACGGCTAGCACTTTGAAAATTGTGTTACATCATTATAGATTCAGTACTGTTGTAAGCGTTTTGATATTGCTAAGCGTTTTTGAACAAACCAAAATTCTATTATTGCTTATTAAAATGCAGGAACAGACATCATTTGAATTTGTCAAGGTTCAGATATTCTGCACGCTTTCTTATCCCGTGCTAAATTAGCTTACTTAACAAGCATGTAGATAGGAAGGACCAAAGTAAGATCTTCATTTTGTTAAAATACCGATTTTCAGAAAAAATAATCCCCTTTTTTCGTTCATTTTCTCATTGGACATTTTATTTTTCGTGTATTAGAAAACCTTGCGTCTAAAAATTAGAAGAACGCTTTACAATATCTTAAAAAACTGGAAAATATGTTAAATAAAACAGTATAATTTGATTAATGTGTTAAGGATTTAGTATGCGAATTCTTCCTGATGGTATATGAAACAAAGCATCAGATTTTATCGTATTAAAAGAATTTAAAAAAATTCCATTCCTTAAGATGCATCATGGACCTCCGGGGTTTCTTGTTAGAATTTAAGTGGTATTATTTTTCTTGAAACTAGTGTGTCTTGAGATTCGACAGTATCTCACCTTGTAGAACATAATGCTTTCCTAACAATACTGATGACGTTTTCCCGTTGTGAACATTATTAATATAAACGCATGTCAGGCATATACAGTATGACGTTTCCAATTTACGATAAAAGGTTTATGATTAAAAGAAAATTGATGTTTCTTCCCAAGCGTCATCAGAAACTGTAACACCCATTCAGGCAGTAATTCAGGGTGAGCACACAAATCGATTTTTTTCCTTTGTCAGGGAGGATAGAAAACTATATAATGTAAAATATAATTTGTAAATTGATTTACCAGTCCAATCCAAACCACATCCATTTTTTTAATTAGGCGTTCATATTTCGTACATTCAAATGATGCAATATGGCCAGGGTATTCAACTCTGACTAAGCTTGTTGAGATTTTTTTGTTATCAACGACTCTCTACCAGAGGCGTGATGGATTGACGTATTTTTATTATAGGAACATTACGTTTTAGAAGTATTTGAGCCCCATAGGAAAACTTCATGGCCTCGTAAAGGTGCTTAGACTATAGTTTGGACGTTCTCCTAATAGTCGACTATATCCTTGGCACAAAGTTGTACCAGTTTCTGTTCTATGTATACTCGTAATAAACTGAACGGAATGAGGCACAAGCCTTTTTTCTCAAAGCACAGGAAAGAAGATGACTTTCCTGCTTAGTTTCAAATTCGTGTACGCTGGATTGTCCTTCCTATTAGAATTTCCTTTTCCAGTGTATAAAATCTGAGCAACATTTTTATTGTTATTTAGTTTCAGTACTCTTTCTCACAATTTAATTGGAATTTAGTAATCCATTTTCTTAAAAATAAAGCAAACCGATAAAATCGTATATATCAGGATTCATTATGTTATATCGTACATACAGGAGTAATCAGACAATGGGTAAAAGGGAGGCTCCTCGGCGGAAAGAGCAGCTGAATGTTTTTCAGTCGCAATAGCAGAAAATTTCTTTTAAAAATTACTATGATCGTTGAAGATGATATGGATGACATTATGTGTTTATGTGAAAGAGGACTAGAAGAATTGGAATACGTACATTTTATTCGTTCTCAGTTATTCATATGCAGACAATGCAAGTTGGTATTTCCATTCACTAACGTCTGTGTCAACAGAAACTGCGAAAATCAGCACTTACGTATGTGTATCCATAATATGTTATCCAGTTATGCCCTTCAGCCTTAGCAATCTCGCTATCAAATCGGCAATATATAGTTGTGTGTACATATTTTACCCGACGGCATCAAATCCCAAGAACTGATCGTATTAAAGCAAACAACCGACTATTTTTGTTGCCGGAATGTCGGAGAAAAAAATAATCTTTTGGACTAGCATACTATGTTGCTATGTCTCTACGTCATGCGGATAAGAAATGTTCCATTAATCAAGGAAGCAGTAAAACATCTAAATGCCAAGAATTTTGAAATCGAGATCAATCGTTATTTAAAGCGTAAAAACGTAGGTCGTACCATAGTTAACAAAGCGTTGAATTTGTTCCGCAAAATCTATGTATGAACTTGGTCTAACACTCCCAGTTCATTCCAAGTCTGGGATGTATCGCCGTTATGGAACACCTTCATTGTGCGCAAAGTATTGTAAGATATTACTCGCGCAACTTTTCTTGAACGATTTTTGATTGGAAAAAAAAAATGCGGATAGAGTGGGGTTCATGGTGGGGGACCGCTTATGTATTAGGGGGAGGCGCGAATAGATTAAAGAAAGGAGTAAGATAAATATAAAAAAGTAAAGGGATAGAGTGGGGGTAGTAATCAGACCAACATAAAATTTTATAGAAAGACAAATGCCATCTCTAGAGAATCAGTATGCATTAGCAACCTTTCTCAAAATAATTTGCTTAAACATCAGCTTTACTCAGGAGATTCAAAAGGATATTCTACCTTGATAGATTCTTTCACATGAACTATCGACGTCAATTTCTTTTGCATTTTTTGAGAGAAAATCACGGACAGAGGTATTGTCGTTCAACAGAAAATAGTATTCTATATTAATCACGCCAGTGAAAGATTGACGAGTTTGGAATGTACAACAGTGATTCACTACGAAGCTTATATGCCTTCAACTGTTTATTGTGCCAGAAGAGAGGAGAAGCAAAAGATTCATAACAGTATTCAAGAAGAATTGCGCGCGAGAAATTCTCACAGTGTCATACACCTGCTCCTTAGGAAACTGCATTGTCAATCCGGAGTAAGATTCAATGTTTCCCATACCTGTCATTAGTCGTAAATTAGGAGAAAAAGATTATAAAAAAATGTTCCTTTGTTGTCGCCAGGCGGAGGATACCGAGGCCTCAACAAACCAGAAGACGCGACGAACAGCTGCTTTCTACTACAGCGGAAGATTCACTCAAGTTATACTCGTTTGGATTCGCCGCACGCGACTTCTTCCACGACCTCGAGATCCAGGAAGCCAAGCGATGGCTGTTTTTCGACAAGTTCAAGATGGCGTTGCATCACGACCAGGTTTGCAATTCACTCTTTGGTTACGGTGACGGAAGCTCTCTCTGTCCGATTGAAATTAATGTGCTTCATCATGTTGTTGATTGTTGCGTAACTAGGTCTGTTGAGAACCGTTATATTTTATAACCGAACTTCCTTCCAGTTCTCCGGGATGCCTTTGAATGGCTTTCCAGGTGATGTAACAGAATTGCGTCGACATTTGACGGATGCTAATTGTGCTGTTGTGGAATAACAATAGTGCAACTTAGAATACTGTCAAGTTTAACGTCGCTTGTGACATCCTTGTATAGTAATCGAGTAACCTGTATCCGCCCCTCAGTCCGTCGCTCTCGGTTAGGCCCTTTCCGGTTCATCAACCGTGACAAATGAGATGTCATTCGACGCGTCTGGGTTCTTCTGGTGGAGGATAGATCAGTTGTTTGGGATCCATGCGGAATATTCGAAGATGCATTTATCTAAGAAACGTGATTTTTAAGCAACGAAAATGAGGGTAATTTTCGAGATACTCTTTATGTATTTGACCTGATGGTATCCTGTTGTAAGATATATTTGACCATTTATTCAATTATAAGCTGAGGTAACCTGACGATCCCTCGGCATTTTCCACTGTAATATATTAGGAAGGGAAAAATAATGAGTTCGATGTATAGCATATGATGATAGTAGTTTAATTTTCATCAACGACTCGACTTGCTCCCTCTCGGCCACTCCTCCAACCCTCCGTCCCCTCCATCCGTCATTGCCCTCCACCTCGCCTCCCTGCCCCCTTCAACCCCTCTCCGCCCCCTCTGCTCCCCTTTGCCATCCTTCCTCCCCCTTCCACCGCCAACCAATGCGTACTCCCTCCGCCTACACCACCGCCCCTTTTCCATCTACCTCCTTTTCGCCTCCATCGCCCCTCTATCACTATCATTTCCCTCTCCACCCCCCGTTTTGCTCTGCCCTCATGCACTTCGTCTTTCTCTTTCCTTCCTCATCCTCTCCGATCGCCACCGTATTTGTTCGCTCCCTCCCCCTTCGCGCCTCACCTCTCTCCGTCTCCGTCCGTCATGGAGATAATCAGGAACACACGCTCACGTACATGCTTTCATTTCTATTATGAAGGTTTAGTGGAAACGTTTTTCTAATCAATTGTAGAAAAATAGAAATGAAAGAAACTGACATATCTCCTATGCAACTCTTTCTGTTCTCCACTACATTAATTATCGTCTCGAAACTGAAGTCTTTTGTCTTTCATCTTCGCTTTTGCTCTTACTCCTTACTATGAGTTTCTCACATAGACATTCACTCATAGACACACAACACACATTGGCACACGTATCACACTGACATCGTTCTCTCAGCTGAGATCCAAAGCAATACTAATCTCCTTCAATGGCAAATAACGCGAAATTCCCGTTTACAGTGACGACATGCGGGCAATATTTATTTATCTCGTTAGCAATGGTATAATTTCATATTAATTTCTCAGTTACTGTGGCAAGAGAACCATCCATAATATATTATGCAACTATATTATAATGTTAATTTTTATTGCATTAGTATGTGCTTCAAAAACAAGCAACGTTAGGAGCGAGTTTTCAAGTTTGTATGATAATGAAGCAACATTATAAACGAGTTGCAAACGTTACTTTTTTATTGCAGCATTATACATTCACGTGAGAATCGAAGTTAATTTTGGAAACAATTTTATTGTGAGGTTATGGTTATTTTGCATCTGCGAGGAAAAACGGTGGTCGGCAATTCGTTTTACCTCTACCACCCCACGATTCCCTCGCTGGGATTGGCTGTTGTGTGACGCCACAATTATTTGGGCCTTGAACGGCAAATTTGTAGTAATCCATAATATATCATGTATTGACATCGGAAAAAATCGTTTATAACGGTGAAATAAAACAATTTTAAAAAATAAAAAAAATATTTTTTTTAAAAACCTCCTCGGCACTGAAGTGCGGCTGCGACGCGTGCGCAGGACATGAACCGGGACACGCGCGTGCAGGCGGCCAACGGGCGCAGCCTGCCGGCGCTGGCGGTGTTCGCGCACGCCCTGCGCCACCTTAAGGAGCAGGCGCTGCGCGAGCTGTCGGACCAGGCGGGCGCCGACCTGCGGCCCGACCACATCCGCTGGGTGGTGACCGTGC